TGGTAACAACTAGCTCATAAGGCTGTTGGGAAGATAAATGAGATAGTGAACATAGTGTGCTGAGAAGACCTTGCCAGGGCATAGTGAGTGCTCAGTAAACATTGGCCATCCTTTTACAGTAGACACCTCTGTAGTGAATCAGAGATTTCTGATCCTGCATACTTAGGGCAGCTGGGGACTAATAAGGCTAGCTCTAGTTCTTTGCTGTAATTTCACCTATCCATGACTTTCTTTGTCTTGATGCAAGTGTCTGTAGTACTACATTCACTTGCTTAATGGTTTAGGGCCAGCCAGTGGAATGCTTCCCTGAGGGCAAGTTGGGAGAGAACAAAGGATGAGGCCAGGCATGGTGGCTCTTGTAATCCCAGCACTTTGGGAGGCTGAGATGGGAGGATCACTTGACGCTAGAACTTTGAGACCAGCCTTAGCAATATAGTAAGACCTTGTCTCTACAAAAATAAAAATAAATTTAAAAATTAGCCAGGCATGGTGTTGTGGGCCTATAGTTTCAACTACTTGGGAGGCTGAGGTAGGAGGATTGTTTGAACCCAGGAATTAGAGGCTGCAGTGAGCTATAATTGTGCTGCTGCACTACAGCCTGGGTGACAGAGCAAGACCCTGTCTCAAAAAAAAAAAAAGGAAAGAAAATAAAAAAGGATGGTAATGAAGGAGGGTTGTGCCATGAAAATACAAGAGATTTTCTGTTGTAACCCTGTTGCACGGTGTATTAAATTGAAGATGCGCGGTGGACTCCTGGGGATGGAGGAGAATTTGGAGTTCTAAGTCTAGGGGTCTAGGGTAAAGATGTTATACAAGGTGGGGCAGGTAGACAGCCAGATCTTCATTCATTTTATTAAGTTCTTATTAAGTCATGTGGGTGGGATTTATGGGTAAGGAATATAGAGCCTACCTGTCCCCATAGAGCTGGCATCCTATTGGGGGTGGCACTAGCCACTTAACTAGTTAGGTGAGTGATATTTGAGTAGGGTGCCCATAACTGATAGAATCTGCCCTGTGATTCTGCTCCTGCTAGTGGAGTATGGGGGAGGCCTGGTCTTGGATCTTGTTCCTCATAGCTGGTTCATTCAGGAGGTCAGAGCTCTATCTTGGCCTAGCTGGCCAGTTTCTGTTCAGGACTGGAGCTATCATCTGTAGTCTTGGCAAGCCATTTTAGAAATCTAAGGGCCGGGCGCAGTGTCTCACACCTATAATCCCAGCACTTTGGGAGGCCGAGGCGAGTGGATCACAGGGTCAAGAGATCGAGGCCATCCTGATCAACAAGGTGAAACCCTGTCTCTACTAAAAATACAAAAATTAGCTGGGCATGGTGATGTGCGCCTGTAGTCCCAGCTACTCGGGAGGCTGAGGCAGGAGAATTGCTTGAACCCAGAAGGCGGAGGTTGCAGTGAGCCGAGATCGTGCCATTGCACTCCAGTCTGGGTAACAACAGCGAAACTCCGTCTCAAAAAAAAAAAAAGAAAAGAAATCTAAGTTGTTGGCCCATGGAATGTCCTGGTGGTTGAACCAACATGTGTTCTTTGCCATTCCTGGGTAGCTGCTTGGAGAAGGCTGGTGAGCTGTTCATGTTTTTTGAAGAATGGTGCTCAGGAGCACGAGGTTTCTTCCTGGTGCTGCTGAGGCCTGTTGCTGAGCTTTGGGGTACCCTGTCCCCTGTTTTATTTCTCCTACATCGTAAGCTGCTCAGAGCAAATGGGTCCTGCTGCAGGTGTAGGTTTGCCTCTGGCTGATCCTGGGCAGTGTGGCATCTGGATGGGAGGGACTGAGGGAGCCTTAGGCCAGAGTTAAGGGGTGCCCCTCAGCTCCTGCCTGGAGTCATCCTACATGGAGCAAATAGGGGTGAGTCTGGGAAAAGTTGCATTTGTTTTCTGCTTTAAGACTTTAGCTTTTGGCCTGGGCGCAGTGGCTCACACTTGTAATCCTAACACTTTGGGAGGCCGAGGCAGGCAGATCCCTTGAGGCCAGGAGTTTGAGACAAGCCTGGCCAACATGGTGAAACCCCATCTCTACTAAAAGTACAAAAATTGGCTGGGCGCAGTGGATCACGAGGTCAAGAGATCGAGACCAGCCTGGTCAACAAGGTGAAACCCTGTCTCTACTAAAAATACAAAAATTAGCTGGGCATCGTGGTGCGCGCCAGTAGTTCCAGCTACTTGGGAGGCTGAGGCAGGAGAATTGCTTGAATCCAGAAGGCGGAGGTTGCGGTGAGATTGTGCCATTGCACTCCAGTCTGGGTAACAACAGTGAAACTCCCTCTCAAAAAAAAAAAAAAAGTACAAAAATTAGCCAGGCGTGGAGGCATGGTGGTGGGCACCTGTAATTCCAGCTACTTGGGAGGCTGAGGCAGGAGAATCGCTTGAACCTGGGAAGCAGAGGTTGCAGTGAGTCGAGATTGTGCCATTGCACTCCAACCTGGGCAACAAGAGCAAAAACGTCTAAAAAAAAAAAACAAAAAAGAAGACTTTAGCTTTTGTTTGTCACCCCTTCCAGCATCCAAACATTTATGAAGTGAATTTCTCAGAGTGCTGCCCACTCCCTACCGGGTTTTTGTACACGTGACATAAAGTAGGACCTCAGTGAGTGTCTAAATAAAGGCCTGGCTCAGATGTACCCTCTGAGAAGCTGCCTTGAGGGGGGATGCCTCAACCAAGCTCTGAGCGCTCCACTATAGCCCTTGTCTTGATCTTTTTTTGTGCCCTGTCTTGATCTAAGCCCCAGACTGTGCTCCAGTTTCTTAGTCTTTTGCATTTTTTCAGCACTTAGTCTGGTACTTGTAGGAGAAAGGGAAAAGAAATGAGCTTGTATTGAGCACCTACTCTATTCCAGGAACTCTGCTAGGCACTTTACACCCATTTAACTTAGTCCTCACAACAACCTTGCTGTGTAGACAAGGAAACCAAGGCTCAGAGTTCAAGCCGTTGACTAAGCCCACGTAGGATTAGCAGTGGTATCCAGCCCCGTGTGGGTCTCCGCTCTGCTATGTGGGGATGTGCGGCGGGGTGGGGGGTGAGCAAACGTTAGCTGTGGGCAAAGGTCACAAGAGGCGCTGTGTGCCTGAGAATGAGCAGCAGGCTTAGCTGTGCTAGCACCTGTGGATGCAGGTCTACCCTGTGCACACAGGAGTTGTGTACCGGGAAGAAGCTGGGGGAAGGCACGTTGCCTAAAGTAGGGACATGTGCCTTTTAAGACAGCCTCTAAAGACTAATTTTGTACTGCATGTGATTACCTTCTAATTTGTCAGGTTAAAGTTTATAAGGCAGAACACTGGTATGACTAAAATACAATGCTCTCTCCCCACTGTCCTCATTCAGGGATCTGTGTGTTATATAGCAACTTCTAGATCTGAAGGGTATACTCTTGTTTCTCTTGACCTCAGCCCCTGCCACCAGACCTGAGGGCAGTCTAAAAGCAAGCCTGTGTCCAGGTGGATCAGGCCACTTCCTTTCAGCTGAGCTCTGTGCTTCTTTCCTAGATGTTTTTAGGCTCCCAGTCTGGTTGCAGAATGAATTGAGTTCCTGCAGCAAGTGAGGCTGAATGGGCACTGAGGAGGCAGGACTGGTGGCTGAGGGCCCTGCCCTCTCTTTGAGGACAGTGCTCCCTGCAGGAGCTTTGTACTGTGAAGCTGAGACTTCTGCTCTGCATGGGTGCCTGCAGTGAAGCCTCATTCAGGTGGCACTAAACAGGCAGGATGCACGCCCTCTGACCCCACCTCGTGGGTCTAGCCCTGCCCTTAGCATCTGAGGAACTTGCCTTTCACTGCAGAGTTGAGTGTTTCTCAGAGGCACAGAGGTTGTTCAGGGTGGTCTGTTGGGATAGTTTTTGCTCCTGCCCTCTTGCTTGCTGCATTGTAAACTGAGCCCCCTACAGTTCACCCCACTCTGGGCCCTGCAAGGGAAAAGGAGGAATGTCATCATCATTAGTTTTCCCTGGGGTAGGCACTTAGGTGTTTTTGGTGGAATAGTGGCAGAGCAAAGTTCAGGTGCAGGCTGGGTTTTCAGATTTCTCACTGGGATAGATGGAAGCTGCCCCAGACTCCTGCTGTGGGGAATGGCCAGCCAGGGCCAGCTGCCCTCCTCTGTCATGTTGGAAGGATGGGGGAGGTTGGCCTGCCTGCCTCTGCTTACCACCACTCTTAAGGAAGGCTCTTTTTGGTATATCCATCTTAGATGAGGGAGCTGAAGTTTGGAAATACATTGCTTACAAGGGGCAGACCATTTAAATCCAGGTCTGATTAAATCGATGCTTTGGTTCTTGTCTGCTTTACCACCTCTTTAAGAGATTCAGTAGATACAAACTGTGTCTTTACCTGGCTTTACCATAAGAATTTCAGCAGCTTCATCTGTTTCTCCATAAAGTAACAACTACTAAATTTAAGTGAAAAGGATCCTGGTTTTGTGCTCTTGCCGCATTTCTTCTCTGATAGAAGATTCAGGAAACTCAGTGCTCATGACAAGTGTTTTATTCCTTTCAGGGATGGGAAAGGTTATTCCAAGAGAGAATGCGGAGGAGGACAATGCTTAACTCAGTTCCTGTTGTGGTTTTAGCTGTAATTGGAAGAAGTTGGCTTGGGGCAGGGTCCTTCCAAGCCCTCACCCAGGTGACCTGGTCTGCCCTTTAACTAAGACCCCCCCTAAATCCTTTCCTCTCATTAAAAATAAACTGAGCTGCCTATAATCCCAGCACTTTGGGAGGCTGAGGCAGGTGGATCACGAGGTCAAGAGATTGAGACCATCCTGGTCAACAAGGTGAAACCCCGTCTCTACTAAAAATACAAATATTAGCTGAGCATGGTGGTGCGTGCCTGTAGTCCCAGCTACTCAGGAGGCTGAGGCAGGAGAATTGCTTGAACCCAGGAGGCGGAGGTTGCGGAGAGCCGAGATCGTGCCATTGCACTCCAGTCTGGGTAACAACAGCGAGACTCCATCTCAAAAAAAAAAAATAATAATAATAATAATAATAATAATAAACTGAGCTGAGTATAGTGGCTCATGCCTGTAATCCCAGAACTGTGGAAGGCCAAGGTGGGGGACTACTTGAGCCTAGGAGTTTGAGACCAGCCTGGACAACATAATGAGGCCCTCCGCCCCCCGACCCCACCCCTCCGAACCTGTCTTCTACCAAATTAGCTGGGCATGGTGGCATGCGCCTGAAGTCTCAGTTACTCAGGGGGCTAAGGTAGAAGGATCACTTGAGTCCGGGAGTTTGAGGCTACCATGAGCCATGATTGTGTCACTGCACTCCAGCCTGAGCAAACAGAGACCCTGTCTCAAACAACAACAAAAAAGAAAGAAAGAAAAACTAAAGAGCAAAAGTAAAGTGTAGTTCTGAAACCCTCAGGATGGTGTGCGGGGTGCAACCCAGGGCTGCGTAAGTATGGAGAAAGCAGCAACCACAACCGAGGGCCACTTCCTGCCCCGGATAACCTCTGCTTGTGGGAGTGATCTGGGCTGTGACCTCCCCTTCCAGGTTCCCACCCTTGTTTCCCCAAAGCAGTGCCAGGAGCCCACGCTCCTCTGGGCCTCTGACTCTCCTTTGCTTGAACCTTCAGCCCAGCATGAAGCACCTTGGTTGTGCTTTGCTCATGCTGGTGGGGTTGGTGCATGGTGCTGCTGCAGCTCGAGGGCCAGAGCAGGACGTCTGTCTGTCCCTTTCTGCTTCTGTGGAGATGACTACTCCCAGACCCTACCGTGACACTTTAGCTGGGCCTGACCTCCCTCTCAGTTTTGAGATCCTGATGCCCCTGCAGTGAAGGTGGACTGTTTACTCTCTTTAGAGTACACAGTACACGTCTGAGGATTTGGGATTCAACCTGTGGTTCTCTGGGTCTTTGGCCTGGATGCCCACCAGCCAGCCACTGTCCTTCATGCCAGCTATATCAGAACTGGGGACAGTCAGACTGGTTTTCTCCAGTGAAAGCTTTCTTGATACCTTTTAGTGTCAAGAAAGTGCCTTGAGGAATCCTTCCTAGAGACCTTCCCAAGGGGGCACAGACCACCCATGTCTGGGAGGACAAAGCTTCCTGGAGAGGAGAGGTTAGTGCTAAGAGAACCCGGTGCACCTTGTCCCCTAGCAGTGTTCAAAGTTTCTGGGTGAGCTAGTGTATAAGTGGGAGGGACAGCAGGATTGGCAGGGTTAGGAGGTGGGAATCAAGCCTACTACTTTGCTGGGATCCTCTCTCCCCAACCAGCCCAGCAGCTGGGCCATCCTTTATGGGTTGAAGGGGCCCTGGCAGGGTTATAGCCCCTCCACCCAGCCCCACCCCAGGGAATAAACTGCAGCCGAGCTTCTTGCTTCTTACTGTGGTTTTAAAGCATGACTCACACATGCCATCCCCAGATTGAAGTGCAGTGAGAGGCAGGCAGCAGAGACCCCAGCCTCTCCTTAGGATGCTGAGTAGCTGAATGACTTTGCACCACATGAAAGCTAGGAATTGTTTTGCAATGTGCTTTTGATGGCCTTGGGTGTTTTTAGCGAGTGACAGGGGATTTGGCACATTTTAGGAAGGCTAGCAGGAGGCTGTCCTACTTGATTTGGAAATGTGACTCGTACCCTGTGATTCAGAGCCTTCCCGGGATCGTCAGCACCCTACCTCCCAGGGGAGCAGTGGGTGTCCCTGAGGGGCTGGAAAGCCGAATGACAAGATAGTCCACAAGGAACAGATTCTCAAATGGGCTCAGGCACCTGAAAATGGAAGCAGTGTAGTCAAGGCACTAACTCCTTTCCCACCTCTCTCTGCTTGGGACCTGTGTGTTGAGAGGGAAAGACTGAGTGGGGACAAGTATCCTGGGATCTGAGGACCATCTGCTCGAGCAGCCAGTCTCCCAGCAAGCTGGAGGTCAGGGGTGGCCAGTCATCCTGCTGAGAATGCTTCCACTAGCCAGGCCTGACAGCACTTCGCTGTGCTATCTTTCCCAACTGCCGCCCGTCTTGCTCTGTTACTTTGTGTCCTGTTGTCAAAGACCACAACCCCAAGTGATCTCCACCTCGGCCCCCAGCCATTCTCAGGCTCAGCCCCTCTGGTAACTTGGGGCCTGTTGAGGGGCTTTGGCCCCTGCTCAGATGCATTGTCTGTTCACTCATCCTCCATCTCCAGGCCCTTTGGGAGTAGAGCAGGGCTGGACCTGGGCTTCCTAGGAAATACTGATGTGCTTCTGCTGCTTCTGGTTGCTTGTTATTCCACTTTGGGCACCGGGGTGCCTGTGGGTTGGTTATAAGCTTTGGGATGCTTTTGAGAGTAAAGGAAGCATTGCCAATAAGCCTGCTGAGCAGACAGGGGCTGGTGGTCACCCTGATTAGAAGCAGGAAAGAGACTTACAGAGCCTAGCAGATGCCTGAGATTTTTAAGGAGCTCTGTCCGTGCTTCAGGAATGAATGAATTTGCCTTCTGTGATTCTCCGTCTTGCCTGGGGCCCGGATTCTGAGCAGTGGCAAGTCCCTGCATGTGGCCCCAGAGCAAAGCCTGGCACACTGCCTCTCCTTTCCAGTTTTCCATGTCCTTTCTCAGGGGTGAGGGTTGCCCACACCACCCTCAGCTTGGTTTGCTGAGCACTCTTTCCCAATTAATGCAGCATGTCTCTGTAAAGGAGGTGTCCAGTGACCCCACCCACTGGCCCAAGGCCATGGGAGCTAAACAGGGAAGGATTCAGGAATCCCTGGGAATCCTCAGACTTGGGAACTTTGAGGGTTAAATCCTGGCCCAGCAGGGACTACTCTCAGCTCCTCTGTAGAGTGAGAATGAACAACAATAGTAGTGGGGAAATTAAGCTGAAAAGCTTGGACCTGCTGGGTGGGGAGGGGTCACAGTGGTGCCTGGTGAGGGGCAGAGCTTGTCTGGCACCTTACTTGCCAGTCTCTGTGGTTTGGGTTGAGTGGTAGGAAGTGAACAGCTCCGTGGTCTCTGACCACCACCCCGTGCAGTTCTTCACTGCCTTGGCTTTGCCAGCTTCCAGTGACTAGCCTCTTTCACGCAAAACGGAGCTCCAGGCTGACACAGGTATATGTTGGAGGGTTTTGCCAAGCAAAGTTAGGGGATGATGCCTGATTGGAGGCATTTTCTGTCCAGGGCTCTGGGCTTCCTAAGACTCTTCTCCACCTCCTTGCATCCTGCCCCTGCCTACAAAGAGGGAAAACTGAGCACAGCTAACAAGGCAGCCCATTTGTCTTTTGTGTTAGTGCTTCTCTTTGATACTTTCTTTTCCCAACTCTCTGTGGCTGGCAGGGATTTAAGGCTGTATCGCAGGTCTGGTGCACAGTCCCTGGGTTTTCCCTAGCCTCAGGAATATGTTGATCCCGGCCTTACTGTTACCCTTGGCCTAGGTACTGGCACTCTTTGGGCAGCCCTTGCCTGGAATTTGAACCAAAGTGGGTCTGGCCTCTAGGGCTGGCTGAGACCTCTCCACTATGAGCCCTTCAAAGCCAGGCCTTCATCCTTAATAAAGCTTTTCCAGCAAGACCCAGGTTGTGGCAGTCTTGATTTATATGCCAGGTGAGAAGTCCTCAGAGACTGAACTTTGCCTTCTAAATGGCCCAGCAGGCGCGTTCCACATCTCAACTCTTCCCTGTCTGTCTTACCTTCCTGTGGCCAATCTCAGGAGCCCTGTGTTTGGGGAGGGGGTTGTTAATGCCTTGGTTATACTTTTGAAAGAACAGATGGACTCCTGCCACCCAAGCCCCCATCCTGCTGTATCTTCAGAGCCTCCCCCTATCCTGTGATGAGTATCTAGTGAGAGAAGGACGTGGGGGAGAGAACAGAGAGTTTTGCCACCAGCTCCTCCTGTCCCCTGTCTCTGGGGTCTGCCTTGCTCCCTAGGCTCTTCAGGGCCTTAGTTCAGAGATACCTTAGGCTAAAAGGAAAGAGGAGGAACCAGTCCTTCCACAGATGCTGGTGGCTTGATTACACTGCACCTTCACACTCTGGAAAGGGAGTCCCAGGAAAATCCATACTCCACACAGGGTAGGGGTAGGCCAGAGTCATGTACCTGGGGCTGGGTAGGCTGCAGTGGGAGAGAAAGCAGGCAGGGGCAGGTCAGAAAGGACTCCTCTCATTGCCCACCTTCTGTCCTGCAGGTTGGACATACTCCATGACACACACTCGGAGAAAGTCCCTTCCCATGCTGAGTTCGGGCCCCACTGGCCGCCGAGAGCCCCTGCAGATGGAAGATAGCAACATGGAGCAGGGGGCTGAGGGTGGGGAGCCAGGCATGCCGGAGAGCCCAGAGCACCTCACAGGGCGCCGCAAGAACTACCCACTTCGGAAGCGCCCCTTGGTTCCTGAGAAGCCCAAGGCCTGCAAAGTGCTGCTGACTCGCCTGGAGAATGTGTCTGGTCCCCGGAGTGCAGATGAGGCTGATGAGCTGCCTCCTGACCTGCCCAAGCCACCCAGCCCGGCCCCATCCAGCGAGGACCCTCGTCTTGCCCAGCCCCGCAAGCGGCGCCTGGCCTCCCTCAATGCTGAAGCCCTCAATAACCTGCTGCTGGAGCGAGAGGACTCCAGCAGCCTGGCAGGCACCCGCCGCAGTCGAGTGGGGGATCCCCACCGCAGCCGTGGCCGTGATCGTGCGACTGGGGGCTGGTCCTCCAAGAAGCGGCCCCGGCTGGGGGAACTTGGAGGAGGAAGTCGGGACCTGTCCCCAGAGCCAGCACCAGATGAAGGTGCCCGCCGAGATGGAGACCCAGCTCCCAAAAGACTGGCTAGCTTGAACGCAGCTGCCTTCCTAAAGCTGAGCCAGGAGCGGGAGCTACCCCTGCGACTGCCTCGTGCCCATGCAGAAGCAGATGGGCGCTCCGCTGAGCCTCCAGCACCCAAGGCCCTGAGGCCAAAGTGGCCCAAGATTAATGGCAAGAACTATCCCAAGACTTGGCAGGGGGCTGGCTCTGGGGAGGTTGCAGGCCCACCCGGCTGGCAAGGCTGCCCTGATGAGCCATGGCCTTCTGCCACTCCTCTTGGGTCATCCGTCCAGCCATCTCAGCCCCTGAGCAAGGCTCTGGAGAGTCCTTTGGGGCTGCGTCCTCACCTGCCCCTGCTGATGGGCGGACAGGCGGCTCTGAAGCCAGAGCCTGGGCGCCCAGGCGAGGAGTCACCTGCCCCTAAGCAGGAACTGCATCAGCCCTCTTTCCCCACACCTCAGCTGTCCCCGCTGCCCATGCCTGGCAACCCCGCCGACTACAGTGGCCTGTGTGTTGGGCCTGAGCTCACTGCACTGGGCAGCTTCTACCTGTACTGTGGCCAAGAGGGGCTGCAGTGTGGGGGCTACTCACCCTGCCCCATGCTCCCTGAGGGCAAGCTGTCCCCAGTGGCTGCATCTCATGAGGGGCTCCTCTTAGCCCCGAGCTCAGTGCCCTCAGGCACCCCTTTCCAGCACCCTTCCTGGGGCTCCTCTCGCTATTGCTCTAGCGAGGACACTGGAGTGAATGGCTACAGCATCTGCGGATTGTTGCCCCTGTCTGTCACCCGTGCTGGCACTACCTGTGGCGGCTGCCCATACAAAATGCCTTTTGCAGCAGGTGAGCCTTCCTGGGGCTAGGATATACTAGGGAGTCTCTAAGACATGGCATCCCAGGAGGTTGGGCTACTGATCTGAGCAGGGGTCTCCCTTGGGGTCTGGTTGCTAACTGGAAGGTAGGGGGCTTTGAGAAGTGTGAACTCACATAGTCTGTGCCCCAGGCTGTGGAGCATTCCCAAAAACGGGGTCCTATGTTTAGCTCTTGACAGCCTTGCTCTGCCCAGGCTGCCTATGGAGATTCTTGGCCTGGCAGTTAGGTAGCATTGCAGTGGTACAGGGCACAGGAAGGGGAAGGTCTCACTTCCCTCCTCATTGGGGTACCCATTCTTAGACTGAATAGCAGGTTAGAAATTAGAATTGGAACTTTTACCAAATTGTTCTCACAGCCCTCTGCCCTCCTTGAGGAAAGCTAGAATTTCTTACTTTCTCGAAACCAGTACCCGCTGCATGCTGGCCAAGTTCAGCATTCATGGGAAGGGTGGTAGGTACCAGGCTTAGTAGGTGGTACCCACTGCACAAGGCAGCTTTGCCTTGGCTATATAGGCCTTGAAAGAGAAGTGCCCAGACTGAGCATCACTTTGCTGGGGGTGGATAGAGAGCGCACACCCTGTGAACAGACAAGCATAGTTCCCTGACATGGATGGAATGCCGTCAGGGCCCACAGCTTTGGTGTCTGCCTGCCTGACAAGACCCAGACACCTGAGAGGCCCATGCTCTGGCTGTTGAGAGACTCCCAGAATCGTTTATCTTCCCTAAACGGCAGAGGTATCCTCTCACCTGCCTCTCCACAATCCCTGCCAGCCTCCTGGGTGGAAATGAGGTAACCAGAGCCATGCCGGCCAGCAGGTCTGCCCTGCTGCTGGGGAGGTGAGGGTTGTACCTTCCAGAGATATCCCTCCCCCGACATCCTTTCTGTAGGGGTCTATAAAACAACTTTATAGACCAGTTGGCCCTGGCCAGACTAGTTATTTCAGGTTGTGGCTTGAGTTAAAGCTCTTAGGACATCAGAACAGGCTGCTGCTTGGGGTTTTCCTTCTTTTTTGTGTGCCATTCCCCAAGTCTAGACCCTTACCCCTTTCTCTAATAATAAGGACACCAGTGAACACCATATACCAGGCACCGTTCTGAGTGCTTTACATATGGGATGTTCCTTGGCATGTAATTGAGCGCAGACCCCAGGGCAGGACTGCCTGGAGTGAAATGTTCTCCCCCACTTTCCTAGCCATGTGACTATGGGACAAGTCAGTAACTGCTCTCTGTCTCAGTTTTCTTAACTATAAAATGGGGGTAATAATACCTACCTCACAGGGTTTTTGTAAGGATGAAATTAGTTAATGTGTTCATAAGAAAATAGCAAGTTAACAAATATGTGTGATATTCATAACTACTGTTTATATTGCTTTGAGGGGCAAAGTGACTTGCCTGAGGTCATATGGCTAGTAAGTGTCAGGACCCAGGCTGTCTGGTTCCAGAGCCCCTATTCCCAAGCATTATGAAAGGCTTATAAAGTTAATATTATCAGGGCCAGGCACAGTGGCTCCTGCCTGTAAACCTAGCACTTTGAGGGGCCGAGGCGGGCACATTGCCTGAGCTCAGCAGGTTGAGACCAGCCTGTCTAACATGGTGAAACCCTATCTCTACTAAAAATACAAAAAAAAATAGCTGGACGTGGTGGCGGGTGCCTGTACTTCCAGCTACTCAGGAGGCTGAGGCAGGAGAAACACTTGTATCCAGGAGGCAGAGGTAGCAGTGAGCTAAGAACATGCCACTGCACTTCAGCCTGGGCAGTAGAGCAAGACTCCGTCTCAAAACAAAAAAAGTTAACATTGGAGTTAAAAAGGATGTTCCCACCACCTCTTTCAGACTAAAAGAGGAGATGCCAATCTCCAAGATCAGGAAATGCCCCCGTCCCCTTAGAGAGTCACTCTGACAATCCACCATAAAGGCTTCTGATCACATTGGCCATCTCGGTGGCCTTTGGTTGCACACTTAGAATTAAGACAGGAACAGCCTCTGCAATTAGATGGGTGATGAGGGTCACTGCTTGTCCTGTCCTGACCCACTCTCTCCCTTTCCTAGAAGGCTGCAGATCCCTGGGCCAGCTGGAATTTCCTCTCCCGGAAGCTGGCCACCCAGCCTCACCCGCCCACCCCCTCCTGGGATGCCCTGTACCCAGTGTGCCACCTGCAGCAGAGCCCGTCCCCCATCTTCAGACACCCACCTCGGAGCCTCAGACAGTAGCCCGTGCGTGCCCTCAGAGCGCCAAACCTCCCAGCGGTTCTAAGTCAGGTCTGCGCACGGGCTCTGGCTGCAGGCACACTGCAAGGAGCAAGGCTGCCCGCAGGCCCAGCCACCCCAAGCAGCCACGTGTCCAGCGCCCACGCCCTCGCCGCCGCCGTCGCCGCCGCACTAATGGCTGGGTACCTGTCGGGGCTGCCTGTGAGAAGGCTGTGTATGTCTTGGTGAGTGCCAACTTTTAGCTGATGATGAGAGGGAAGGAGGCAGTGGGAAACACAAAACCTGCCGTGAGGTAGGTGCTAAGAGCACCTGGTTCTAGCTACTCTGAGAGGTGACAAGGGACTCTAGTTTACTGGTACCCCAGGAACCACTCATGCTGGCCCACCCTGCCTGCTTCCCCAGCCCCCTACCAATCCTGTACCGGACACCCCACAGAGGTCAGGAGACACATAGTCATAGCTGGTGGCTGCCATCTCTGTGTCTTCCTGAGTGTCTTTCTCCTCCCTGCTCACTCTGTCCCTTACAGCCTGAGTTGTAAAATGGAGGACTTTCAATGGAGAACTTTTCTGGGTAAGTCCATATGGAGAAGTTGGAACGGGCAGAGAAAATCAGTGATACAGAGGACATCTGGGATGATGAAAAGAGGCCAAATGCAGTGGCTCACATCTGTAATCCCAGCACTTTGGGTGGCGGAGGTAGTAAGATCACAGAAGGCCAGGAGTTCAAGATCAGCCAGGGCAATATATAGGCTTCATCTCTTCAAAGTAAAAACATTAGCCAGGTATGTTGTGCACCAGTAGTCTCAGCTCCTCGGGAGGCTGAGGTAGGAGGATTGCTAAGGTCCCGGAGTTTAAGGCTGTAGTGAGCTGACTGTACCACTGTCCTCCAGCCTGAGTGACAGAGTGACCCTGGCTTTTAAAAGTAATTAATTAAAAATAAAAAGAATGTCAACTAAAATTTATTGAGGCTGGGCAAGGTGGCTCATGCCTGTAATCCCAGAGCTTTCGGAGGCTGAGGCTGGAGAATTGTTTGAGCTCAGGAGTTCAAGACCAACCTGGGCTACATAGCAAGATCCTGTCTCTACAGAATATTTTTTTAAATTAGCCAGGCATGATGTCATGCCTCTGTAGTCCCAATTACTTGAGAGGCTGAGGCAGGAGAATTGCTTTAGTCTAGGAGGTTGAGGCTGCAGTGAACTATGATTGTACCACTGCATTCCAGCCTGGGTGACAGAGCGAGACCCTGTCTCTAAAAATAAATAAATAAATCAACAAACAAATAGATAAAATTTATTGAGTACTTCTTAGATGCCAGAACTGAGCTAAGCACTTTGTATTATTCCCTCTATGCTCCACCACTACTCTATGTGGTATATATTCCATGTTCTTGTAATTATCCCCATTTTACAGATGCGGAAGCTGAGGCTTAGCAGTGGATTAAATAATTTGTCTAAGACTGTGCCCCTTCTAACAGTGATTTAAGGGTTCAGACCGAGATTGTTCCATTAGGAAGCATGAGCACTTATCCAGCATTGAGGGGCTTGGAGTGAGAGTCAGCTGTCAAGGGGTATGGTGGTCAGAGCTCAGTCCCAGAAGCTTCAGGCCACTCCACCACCCCTGCCAATGCTGTTCCCATTTCCCATCCTTTCTCCAACCATGAGATTTCCCCAGCCCCATCCAAACCTGCTTAGTGGTATGACTACCTTGAGGAAATCGTAGAGAGTAGGTCATTCCCTCCCTCTATCCTTACTCTGAGTGTGGCCCTCAAGCCTCTGTGTGTCATTGGTTTGTTGCCTAGGATGAGCCGGAACCAGCCATCCGAAAGAGCTACCAGGCGGTAGAGCGGCACGGGGAGACAATCCGAGTCCGGGACACTGTCCTCCTCAAGTCAGGCCCACGAAAGACCTCCACGCCTTATGTGGCCAAGATCTCTGCCCTCTGGGAGAACCCAGAGTCAGGTACCTCTCCCTCTGGTTGGGGACCCAAGGCGCAGCTGCTTTTAGCAGGACTGTAGGCCCCAGATTGGCCCCTGCCTAGAGTTTGACCTGGCATGAGTCTTCCCCGTGTTCCTGGCACAGAGTCTGCCTTCCACTCAGCTGGGGTCTGTCTGCTGTGACGGCTGTCAGTGACCTTGTGGCTTGGGTTGGATCAGCTCATTAACCTTTCCAGCCAGCAGAGCCTGGGCACCTGTCTCCCCACCTCACCTGTCAGTGCTTTCTCCCCCTTCTCCCTCCATGCCTAACAGCATTCCAGGCCTCTGAATGCTTGGCCTGGGGCAGGGGACACGGGTTGCCGGAGCCTGCAGGATTGGGCCAGGCCTTGAGGTTGGATGAGCCTCCAGGGCAGCCAGCCAGCCTGTCTGCCTGTCTAAGTAACACAAATTGCCAGTTCAAGCCATAACCACTCTGTTGTCCCCCCAGGAGAGCTGATGATGAGCCTCCTGTGGTATTACAGACCTGAGCACTTACAGGGAGGCCGCAGTCCCAGCATGCATGAGGTGAGCTGCCTGGCACATGGGTCAGGGAGGGCAGGAGAGACAGAGGGAAAGGTTATGGCACTAAGACATGGTAGGGGGAGGGCAGCCATGGGCTGTAGTGAAATCCCTGCGCTTGTCACCTTCGACTCCAGAGAACCTTGGAAAGGGCCCAGGGTTTATTCTCTTTTTCCCAACACTGTCCCAATTCATGTTTCAAAGGGGATAATAACCTTTGTCTTAAAAAGGTAACATAAAGGGAACCCTTAAGGGTAGCAGGTGCAAGTGGGAGCAAGTGGTTGTGTCCTCCCGGCAACAGGAAAGTCGAGGTGGAGCCTGCATACCTACCTGGTCCCTTTTGGTATTGTCTGTAGAGTATGGGAGGCCGAGGGAGAAAAGACTCCTCCTAACACCCCATAGGCTCTCCGCCAAGCCATGTGCTAAAAAAGAGGTGACTGCCATCTATGTGTGCCCTGGGCTCACCCTTTATTTCACTTTCCCTTGCAGGGACTTTTCATCTAACTGGGAAGATGAAGAACATTTCCCCTCTCCTTTACTAGGCAGGGCTGGGGGTTGGGAGCTGAGTGGCAATCAGGGACTGGAGCAGGTACCTGGCTATTCTGGAGAAGGAAGGGACCTAGGAGGGACTTAGGAGGAATGCCTGGCAGTAGGTGAGGCATACTTAGGCTGAATTTTTAGGGAAGCTCCCTGGCTTGCTGGAGTCATCTCAGGTCAACATGCCCAGCAGAGGGGTTAATACTTGCCTTGCTTCCTGGAATGAGTGCTTTCCAGCCCTGGTAACAGCCTCCACCTGTCTCCCTTTGAGCCCTTGCAGAATGAAGTCTTTGCATCGCGGCATCAGGACCAGAACAGTGTGGCCTGCATTGAAGAGAAGTGTTATGTGCTGACTTTTGCCGAGTACTGCAGGTGAGTGGTTCCCTGTACCCTCTGCCTGGCCTCTTCCCTCAGGCTCCTCCCCAGGCATATTTGGGGGTTGCCTGGAATTCACCAAGAGGATCTCATTCTGCTCTCTGCCTGATTTTACTCACTGAGCCTAATCTCCCAGAACTTACTTCCTTATTGCCTGCCTCTACCATCTGATTTTTTTAGAAGGAAGAAGAAAAATTTGTTGCCTCACTGAGGTAGAATGGTTGGAGCAGAGTTCATTACAGTGCTTGGAAAAAAATCTAGGAGAATTGGCAGGCAAATGGAGGGAGGCCCTGGCAGATGTGGTTCTTCATTGACAGAGAAGATACCCTGGTGGTTGGCAGAGCAGACATCACCCCTGGGATGAGTAAAGACAGCACCATCCCTGGGGAGCTAGGATAGCCCAGCTCTCTGGGTAGGGTAGGAAAGGAATTGGTCTTCCTGCAAAGGTGGCTGGAGTAAAGAGAGTGAATGGTATCTCTCTGCAGGTTCTGTGCCATGGCCAAGCGCCGAGGCGAAGGCCTCCCCAGCCGAAAGACAGCACTGGTGCCCCCCTCTGCAGACTACTCCACCCCACCCCACCGCACAGTGCCAGAGGACACGGACCCTGAGCTGGTGTTCCTTTGCCGCCATGTCTATGATTTCCGCCATGGCCGCATCCTTAAGAATCCCCAGTAGCCTCCTTGTGCCCACGCTGGGGCTACCCATGGGCAAGTGGGGCTCAGGGTAGGGGGCACTGCTTGAAGCACAGCACTTGGTTAGGGGGCCATAGAGGCCTAAGTTTGCTGGCCTGTGGTTTTCTTGGGTGGGGGGAGGGCAGGGGCCCCTGTGGGTTCTGGGCCCCATGGGAGGGAATTGGGGAGGCCAGGGTATAAGAAGAGCATCAGAGCTCTCAGCTTGCCCCAAGCTTCTGTGGTTCCCCTGGGTGGTGATTTCCGAAGAAGTAGTCTTCTCTGAGGCTGGGCCAAGCCTGAGGGACATGGGGCCCTAGGAGGGTGGGCATGGGAAGGAAGGGCAAGGTCCTCCAGGGAACCAGACCCTACAGGCCCTTCTGTAGCCTCTCCCGGGCCCTCAAAGGGGGAGTGGGAGCCAGCTTTACCTCACCCACTGTGACCCACCACTTCCCCTTCAGCCTGGGACCAGGCTTTTCTAGAACTCAGCACAGCTCTGAGCTTGTTCCTTTGAGGCAGAGAGAGCCAGAGTCTGGCTTCTAGAGCATTGACTTCCTCTTCCTAGACTTGAGGCCTTTCTCTGGCTTTCCTCCTTTGCCCTGCAGTAGCCACTGGTGCTGGGACAAGTTGACCCACCCCTCACAGTCATGGGTGTGGCCCACTTGTGGGAGTCTCCTATCCAGCTCCCAGAGAGGGTCGTCACCTAGCAGGTCTGGCTTCCCAGAAAGTTAACTGATCAATGTGGGGTTTATCATGTCTGGGAGGGAAGATGGGTGCTGGGAGAGGGTTGGGGGCAGGGGGCAAGGAAAATTGCTACCTGATTTGTTGAAGATTTTTCCTCTTGCCTTACACTTGGAGGTTCCAGGAAACCTCTTGCAGAACTTCACACATGACTCTTTAAGCCACACCTACCTGAAATCAAACCAAAGGAGTGCTGTGGCTCCCCTTGCCCTGCCACCCTTACCCTAGTCTTTTGTAGATTGCACTAATTTACATCCCAGCGAGAATCAACACTGTATCAGTCCACAGACCTGCTGAGCTGCAGCCACTTGCTCTAGGAGCTACGGACCTGCATTTTCAGTTTGTTCCTGTTGCCCAGAGACCCTGTTCTCACCTCATGCTGCTCCCCAGAGTAGACTTAAGAGACTCAGTCCCCTGTTGTCCTTGCGGAGACTAGGCCTTGGCCTTGACCCTGCTGAGACTCTGTGAGGGGGCTGGAGCAACCTGGTTATCTCCAGGCCTATTTGTACCAAAGAGGAGCATGGTGGGAGAGGGAGTGGAGTGCAGTGTGGCTTGGGCCTGGCACTGGGAACCTGCTAGCTGAGCACTTCCGCAAGGGCATACTCCCAGGGGCAGGGGCCGAGAACTGCAGCACTGGGTCTTCCCTTAGGGAGGAGGGGCAGACAAACTCAGCAGGCTGAGGAGGCGGCACTGGGTGAGGACAGTTGGTCAGGGGCTGCAGAGGGAGGTGGAAGTGAATCCTGAGGGCTCCCCCGACATACCCTGTCCTGTCCTTTAGTAGATGAGTTGCTCCTGTTGGTCATTGGGTTTGGGTGAGGACTGGAGGCTTCAGAGGTGAATTTATGCTTGGGAAGCCTAATCCCAAACCTGAAGGGAAGAGATTTGGGTCTCCTTGTATTGAATAAGCTGTTTGGAGGAAGGTGTCAGTCTGGGAGGATGGGGCAGTAAGAGAGGTTGGCAGAGTGGCAGTGGGGGCTGTGCAGAACCAGCCTTGGAGCCTGCTCATTCTAGGCCCTTGCTGCCAAGGAGCCCAGTATCACCTAGCAGGAAAGGAGATCAAGGCCCTCCTCCGGGGAGGTAGGGTCTGCTGCCCAGAACCTAAATGCTTTTGAAATCTCTTAGATGTGGAAATATTTTTTCGAACCTGAAAATGCAGCTGGTAGAATTTCAATGGAAGCATAATCCATGTAAAATATATTTTAGTTGATATTTTGTAAAATGCACTTTTTGTGTGTGTCGATCCTGGTTTCCCAGATCTGTATTTCAGTGTTTACAAGGGAGGAAGGACCTTTCCTCACTTCCCTTTTGACAGAGATTAGAAGTACTTCTTTAAGAAAAAAATAAATTTGAGAAATTGTATTGATTTAGAAAAGGATCATTTCCTGTGTGTCCTGTCATCTTTTGGTATGTGGGTGTGGACTCACTATTCTTACTTCAGAGGTCCCTCTCAACCCCTGTGGCATGGAGGTCCCTCTCAGCCCCTGTAGCATGGATGCTCAAAGAGGGCAGGGAAGCAGGGGGAAAAGAGGGAGAGAGGAGGAGGCAGAGACTGGGAACTTAGAGTTGACTTCTTGATTCCATAGTGACCACAGCTGCCTGCTTAGGTCTGTGTGGTTGCCATCCCCCACTCACCTGGCAAGTGACCTGAAAATTGGTCACCAAGTAGGTACATGGTAAGAATACCTTCTCATCACTGGCCTCACACAGTGGCAGCTGCCTATAATCCCAGTGCTTTGGGAGGCAGAGGCAAGAGGGTCACTTGAGCTTAGGAGTTTGAGACCAGCCTGGGCAACACAGTGAGACCGTGTCTCCAAAAGATTTTTAAATTAGCCAGGTATGTTGGTGCATGCCTATAGCTCCATCTAGTCGGGAGGCTAAGGTTGAGGGGTTGCTTGAGCCCAGGAGTCCGAGGCTGCAGTGGAGCGTGATTATACCACTGCAGCCTGGATGACAGAGTGAGATCCTGTTTCAAAAAAGATAATCTCTTCATCACCTTGGGGAACTGGCCGGCACTATCCTAGAGCCTCAGTGTCTTGCAGCTGGTGCTTCTTGCTTGCTGAGGAAATGAAGGCCTATCATGGGACCAAGGGCTTGTGGCCAGCTGACCCCTGGTCCCAGCCTGAAAACTTCAGTGTTAACCATGTTCCAGATGGGGCAGTTCTAAGGCCATAGAGGTTCTTGGGAGGCACAGCACACCTCTCACCTGCATTTTGCTAAGGCATGGTCCATGTGGCAGGAACATTTCCTTAGAAGTTATTGGTGGCACAAACACCACCATGGACTTTTCTATCTCTGTGTTCAATGTGCAGTCCACAGACTCCCTTGATATGAGTGGTAGTCTGTCCCTGTCCTCAGTTTACAGACAAGAAATTGGTATGGAGATGAGTACCAGGCCCAAGGAGTCCCCCTGCCTCACCCTGACTGCTAAACGGAAAACTACCCTTTAACAAAGAAAGGAGCACACATAGCCACGTTATCAAAAAAAGTTTCAAGGTCTAAGGTCTTTTTTCCCCTCCTAGTTTAAAAGACATACTTACTGGAAAACATTTTAATAGAAAACCCATCACCAGAAATGTATACCTTTAGGGCTATTGGAAGCAAGAAGCAGTGTAGTCAAGGCTGAACCTTCATACAGACTTCTGATGCAGCAAACTAACGTGGTGGCCTGCAGATGCACCAGGGCAATCAGATGGATCCGGAGAACTGGAAGGCAGCAAGGCTTTGCTGTTGCTTCCCCTGGCTCATAATGTGTGCTCTCCTGTTACTGGGTTTGGGGGCCATCAGTGAGCCCTCTGGTATCATCTCATCCCTCAGAGTCCCCTCACCCTTCTGAATTCATCTGATCACTGGTAGCTCCATTCTCCTACTGGTATATTTTCCATCACTCCCTCTGTATAGTCTGCCCTCAAGTCAGCTGCTGCTTCCCTTCTAGCCATTCCATGATATGCTCCATTAACCTCTGAAGGACCGTGATTAGGAATTTAGGTTTTAGAATCAGAACGACCCATACTGAGTCTCAGCTTCCCTCAGCCTCTTGTTACCGGCTTTACAAACGGAATTCTCACACTAGCTCTCAGCCAGGGTGGCTGTAACAACTAAAGGAGAGAATATGAAACACTTGGCGGGCACTGCCCTCCATACACTTGGGCTCTAATCATATTGCTCCACTGCTACAGAGCCTTGCTGGCTCCCACACACAGCAAGCACGTAGCTGGGCGAAGTCTGGCTGCTGAGCCAGGTTCCCAGTGGGAAACGATGGCTGCTGACATCCAAAGCACTTGGGGTCTGCTGTCCACCCAAGTGGCCAGCCTGGTGCCATGGAGCACACGTTTAGCTCCAGGCAAGGAGACTGTGTGCTGTTTCCCTGCTGTTATGTGCCACCAGCTCCTCACCCTTCCGAATGTGTGTTGGCCACACCAGCAGCTGACAGACCAATGTGTCATTAGCCCCTCCCCAGAGTCCCCCAATTATCCCACTGCCTCATGCCTAGTGGGGAGAAGGCAGAGGAGGGGAGATTCCTTTTCCAGACATTTTAGCATTACCTAGTGGACAAGCACTGTAGTCAGTCCCCAGGTATTGCTAAACACAGGGGTCACCATGGAGACACTGGTCAGTGTCTCACAGTCCTGCTTCTCTTTCCTGGAGTGGCCACGACCTGTGTGGGACGGAGGGAGGTAAGGTGGCAAAGGGGAGCACACTAAGGACTCTGCTTCCAGCTGGAAAGACCAGCCTCCGGCAGGTCTGAACTGAGAGAGCGCGCTGCTAGCCTCCCTGCCTCCAGACCCGTTGCTGGAGGCAGGGCTAGGACAGGCCTGAGTTTGTGGCGGATCCCCCCTGTCCAGCTCCCTAAGGACACACACTGCACGAGAGCGGCCTCGAGTCTTTTCCGCCTTCGAGGTCTCAGCAGCTTTTGTCCCGAAGCCCAGAGGACAGGGGTGACCCTGACTCAGGGGCCCTCTTCCGGGTTGGGGTCCGCGCGCGCCCTGCCTAGACCGCACCCCACAGGGGCTCCCGCCTGTCTCCCCGCCCCCGGCGTGGGCCCGCCCCCGCGCCTGTGTCACGGCGGGGCCGGGGGTGGAGAGCTGCCGGGCGGGACATCCGGCCCAGGTCCCTCGCCGCGCCCGCCGCCCACCGCCCGCTTCGGCGCCGCAGCCTGGGAGCCAGCCACCTCTGCACACGCCGGGGCCGCCCCCTGCCCTCCCCTCCCGCACTCCCTCCTGGCTCAGACCCTCCCCCAGCCCAAGCCCGCCTCCCAGGCCGCCCTCAAATCGGCCGGGCCCGCGCAGGCCCCCACCCCGGGAGCACCATGTTCCCCCGCCCGCTGACCCCGCTGGCAGCCCCAAATGGCGCCGAGCCCCTGGGCCGGGCGCTGAGGCGGGCCCCTCTGGGCAGGGCCCGGGCCGGGCTTGGGGGGCCGCCCCTGCTGCTGCCGTCCATGCTGATGTTCGCGGTGATCGTGGCCTCCAGCGGGCTGCTGTTCGTGATCGAGCGGGGCATCCTGGCCGAGATGAAGCCCCTGCCCCTGCACCCCCCCGGCCGCGAGGGCGCAGCCTGGCGCGGGACAGCCCCCAAGCCTGGGGGCCTGTCCCTCAGTGCTGGGGACTCGGACCTGCAAGTGCGGCAGGACGTCCGGAACAGGACCCTGAGGACGGTTTGCAGACAGCCGGGCATGCCCCGGGACCCTTGGGACTTGCCGGTGGGGCAGCGGCGCACTCTGCTGCGCCACATCCTCGTGAGTGACCGCTACCGCTTCCTCTACTGCTACGTGCCCAAGGTGGCCTGCTCTAACTGGAAGCGGGTGCTGAAGGTGCTGGCGGGCGTCCTGGACAACGTGGACGTCCGCCTCAAGATGGACCACCGCAGTGACCTGGTGTTCCTGGCAGACCTGAGGCCTGAGGAGATTCGCTACCGCCTGCAGCACTACTTCAAGTTCCTGTTTGTGCGGGACCCCTTGGAACGCCTCCTCTCTGCCTACCGCAACAAGTTTGGAGAGATCCGAGAGTACCAGCAGCGCTATGGGGCCGAGATCGTGAGGCGATACAGGGCTGGAGCAGGGCCCAGCCCTGCAGGCGACGATGTTACATTCCCCGAGTTCCTGAGATACCTGGTGGACGAGGACCCTGAGCGCATGAATGAGCATTGGATGCCCGTGTACCACCTGTGCCAGCCTTGTGCTGTGCACTATGACTTTGTGGGATCCTATGAGAGGCTGGAGGCTGATGCCAACCAGGTGCTGGAGTGGGTGCGGGCACCACCCCACGTCCGATTTCCAGCTCGCCAGGCCTGGTATCGGCCAGCCAGCCCTGAAAGCCTGCATTACCACTTGTGCAGTGCCCCCCGTGCCCTGCTGCAGGATGTGCTGCCTAAGTATATCCTGGACTTCTCCCTTTTTGCCTACCCACTACCTAATGTCACCAGGGAGGCGTGTCAGCAGTGACCATGGGTGTGGGGCCAGCAGCTGGTGGGGACTGGATTGAATGCCAGCTTTCTGTGCTTCTGCCTGTCATTCAGAGAAACCCTGGCTCTGGGGCTTGGGGCTTCTCAGGATGCCTGGATGGCAGAGACTGCCCTCAGAAGTTCCTTATCCAGGGTGGGTACCCACAGTGGCTCAGAGGACAGGGCTAGGCAGGAGGCCTGCTGCTCCTCACTGGGGGGATCTCTTGGTGGGTAGACACCAGTTTGCCAGTGAAGCAAGATCTAAAGACTGGCTCCAGACCCCGGGCTGCCAGGATTATGCAGTCCACCCAGTCTACCTTAATTTAACCTGTGGCCAAACTCAGAGATGGTACCAGCCAGAAGCAAGCAGGACCAGAGCCAGGAACCCTGTGGCTCTGATCCCCCATTTATCCACCCCATGTGCCTCAGGACTGGAATGAGCAATCCGACCTTAGAAATGACTTTTGTGCCTTTCTGCTCCAGACTCAAAATGTCCTACACCTGCCAGTTCTTTCCATTTTTCCAAGGAAAGGAAAACGGAAGCAGGGTCCTTGCCTGGTAGCTCCAGGACCCAGCTCTGCAGGCACCCAAAGACCCCCTGTGCCTAGCCTCTTCCTCGAGTTCTAGGAACCTCCTCCCTAATCCTTCCTTCCCCACAACGCCTTTGAGGTTGTGACTGTGCCTGGTATATCTGGCTGCCATTTTTCTGATGCATTTATTTAAAATTTATATGTGTTGTTAGAACCCTTGTAAGGGCTTTGTTTTCCTAATAGCTGACTTTTTAATAAAGCAGTTTTATATATAAGGTGAGCATTTCTGTGATTTCCCTCTGAGCTCCTGTGGGCCCAGCAGATCTCCACGGTGCCTATCTCCCATGTCCAGGGCGGCAGCTTGTAGGCAGAGAAAGTAAGATGTAACTTGTTTGGGTTGGTCCAGTAGGCTGCTGCCACTCCATGGAGACTTTGGGGGCTTTCTAATAGGCCACACCAGATCACAGACTCAGGTTCTGGGATGTCACCAAAGGGCAAGCCCAGTTAGGAATGGCCTGAGGTCCAGAGCATACGTACATGGATTATTCCCTAAAAAAGCAGGTGGACAGGAGATACAGGATCCTCCTCCTCTTACTCAGTGAGATTTGAATGAGAAGTTCCCACAGAGCATTATTTTTTTTTTTTTCTTGAGACAGAGTCCTGCTCTGTTGCCCAGTCTGGAGTATAGTAGCACCATTTTGGCTCACTGCGAACTCCACCTTCCGGGTTCAAGTGATTCTCGCGCCTCAGTCTCCCAAGTAACTGGGATTACAGGTGGCGCCACCACACCCAGATGATTTTTATATTTTTAGTAGAGATGGGTTTTGCCCTGTTAGCCAGGCTAGTTTCAAACGTCTGACCTCAGGTAATCCACCTGCCTTGACCCGTCAAAGTGCTAGGATTACAGCACTTTGAGCCACTGTGCCTGGCCCCAGAGCATTTTCAAATGAAAAAGAAAATTTTTGTGTGAGCAAGGAGAGATTCTTTTCTGGCATTACAAGGAAGGAAGGCAAGGAGGTTGAGTGAGGGTTAGGCTCTTGTTGACTTAGGTCCAAAGAATGTTGTGGAAGGAATACAGTTGGAGCAGCAGAGGACAGGCCTCAGTATGGCCCAACGCCCCATTGCTCTCTAGAGATCCCAGGCCCGCCAGGGGTTGCTGAGCCCCTGGGAGAGATGCAAGACCAGAGCTGGCCCTTCTCTGTTAGTCTATTTCACATACCCCTGGTGGGAAGTGCTGTACTTTAGGGAGCAGTTGGTAAGAGGTGGGGCCCAAGGAAGGGAGGCAGGGAGGGCCCCTTGCAGGTGCTGCCCGTCCCTAGCTTTGCTATTGGTTGGACTTTGGAGAGAAAAAGTAACACTATATCCCAAATTTGGGGTAGGGGTTTCTGTGGGCACTTACAGCTCTCTACCGTGACTCATCAGGCAATGTTGTTTCCAGGAGGCCCACCTGACCAGATGTCTGGCTCAGATGTCCTTCCTCAGGGTCCCCTTGGCTCTGGGGACTTTACCTAGACCTATCAAGTCCCAGCCCTATTCCTCACCAGCTTACTATCTCTCAAAGCCTCTGTCTTCTCCAATGTGTCGTGGGAATAATTACACCTATCTCATGTAGATTGTGGGAGAGGGGGAATTAATGAAGACAAAATGAATAAAAGGGCCCATCCCTGCACCTGGCTCAGTGGATGTTCTCTTGGATGCTGGTTGAACATGTGACCCCTCAGAGGCCTATGGTGACAAGGGAGAAGCCAGGACAGTGTGTCCAGCCCAGCACCAGAGGTCCCTAATGCTTCTGGGCAGGGCCCCTTTGACCTCTGGGTTTACTTCCTCTCCCAGTGAGTCAGTCCTTCTCTGAGCGTCCAACTCCACAGGACGCCCCTACTACACCCTCTTTTTCCTCTTTGCCTGGGATCTTTAGCAGCTCCAGACCTACAGCAGCTAATCAGTCTCCCTCACGGGGCCTGCAGCACAAACCCAGAGAACCTGGAGAACACTGGGCCCAGCTGCTGTCCTCACTCCATTTAATCTTCACCACAGTCGCGTGCCAGTGGAGTCATCCTGTTTTACAGACCTGGAAACCAGCACAGAGAGGATAAATAATCTGCCCAAGGGTCCCACCCTGGTCTGCCTCCCAAATAGGAGAAAGGGAGGAAAGGAGAAAGGCTTATGAAAGGTGGGGGTAAGGAGAAGAAGGAATCGAAAAACAAAGTTAGAGGAAGGGTAGGTGGGGCTGGAGTCAGGGGCATTTGAAAACATTCTCCTTCCCAGTTTTTTCATTCCTTCATTTGCAAAGAACCCAATTGAGCCCAGCTGACTTTTACTAGTTCCTGCCCTGAACGAGTGGGAGACAGATAGTGCTCTTGATGTGATTAATTGATTGGCTACTCTCCTCCCAGGCAGAAAAGGGGTGCTAGGCCATAGAGAAATCTGACAGCCACAACTGGACACCTGTGGTGTGGGGCGGAGGGTGTGGGAAAGAGGAGAGGATACGGACGGGGAGACAAATGCCACCTCCTGGTTCATTATTTTTCCTCTAGTCGGGCCCTGAGGAAAATAATTTGTCATGTAGCCTTCCTTTCAGGAAAACAGACTTCTTAAAAGAAGCTGCCAAGGAGGTGACATAGAATTGTGGGGTCCAGAGGGCCCTGGGTAGACCTGCTTTACGCTGGGTATCCAGGCCAGAGCTGGAGGCACTACCTGCTGTGGGTCACCGGGGTAGGGGCATTCTCAGGACTGGTCGCCTGGACTGTGTCTTCTGGGGATTCCTCCTTTTTACTGCGTCTGCTCTGGCTCCCTACCCTCTGCAGCCAAGCCCTACCCGACCACCTAGCCCCTCAAAAGACAAGGGGCCCCTTTAGAACTTACTCCCTGGACAACCCAACCCAGGTCCTGGAGGCACAGGGGCCAGCAGTTAGCTTCTCTCACAGCTGAGGCCCAGGAGCAAAGGAAAGGGGAGGAGCCCAAAGCAGGCCGGCCTTTCTTGTCTCAGCCCTGACTCCTCTTTCAGGCTCCAGTTCCTGTCCATTTCTCATCCCATCTGAAACTACTGCCCAGAAACAATCGTAAATTTGGAGGCTCTTCCGCTCCTCTTCCCACTCTCGCCTCTGCCCACACACCCCAGGAGCAACACACCACACAGGTCCCTGCAGGACGCAATAAGGGCAGAGTGGGGCAGTTTACCCACCCCCCCAGCTCAACACTGAACGCTTATCTTTCCCAGGGCCTATCACCACAGGGCCAGGCTCCCAAGATCCTGCTCAGGATAACTCTTTCTTTTCTTTTTTTCTTTTTGAGACAGAGTTTGCTCTTTGTGGCCTACGGGCTGGAGTACAGTGGCACGATCTCAGCTCACTGCAACCTCTGCCTCCCAGGTTCAAGCGATTCTCCTGCCTCAGCCTCCGGAGTACCAGGGACTACAGGTACCCCACCACGCCTGGCTAATTTTTTGTATTTTTAGTAGAGATGGGGTTTTACCGTTGGTCAGGCTGGTTTCAAACTCCTGACCTCATGATCCACCTGCCTCAGCTTCCCAAAGTGCTCGGATTACAGGCATGAGCCACCGCGCCTGGCCGTTTTGTTTTTGTTTGTTTGTTTTTTTTAAATAGACTCTTGCCCTGTTGCCAAAGCTAAAGTGCAGTGGCACGATTATGACTCACTGCAGCCTCAACTTCCCAGGCTCAAGGAGTCCTCCCGCCTTGGCATCCTGAGTGGCTGGGACTACAGGTGTACACCACTATGTCTGGTTAATTTCTTCTATTTTTTGTAGAGACAGGGTGTCATTATATTGCCCAGGCTGGAAGGATCTTTCTTTTTGAATGAGCTCCTGCTTGGCTTTAAACAAGAGGAAGGCATTCTTTCTCTTCCTAAACAGGAAAACTAATAATGCAATCGCTACTGTGAACTGAGAGTACCATGCCGGTGCCTTCCACGCGTCATCCTCTCCGTTCTTACAACAACCCAGCAAGGTAAGTAAAATTATTTTCATATTCTAGATGAGGAAATTGAGCCTAAGTGACTTGTCCAAAGAGATGGCGGGTTGCGATTAAAATTCAGCTCCATCTCAGGTTTTTCTTTCTCTATTTTTCTTTCCAACTTTTAGGTTCAGGGGATACATGTGCAGGTTTGTTCTGTGGGTAAATTGCATATTGCAGGGGTTTAGCATACAAATGATTTCATCGCCAAGGTAATGAGCATAGCACCAAATGGGTAGTTTTCAGATCCTCACTCTCCCACCCTCCACCCTCAAGTAGTCCCAGTATCTATCGTTGTCTTCTTTGCGGCCGTGTATACTCAATGTCTAGCTCCCACTTGTAGGTGAGAACATGGAGTATTTGATTTTCTGTTGCTGGTGTTAATTTGCTTAGGATAATGGCCTCCAGCTCCGTCCATGTTGCTGCACAGAACATGATTTTGTTCTTTTTTATGGATGTGTAGTATTCTGTGGTGTCTATGTACCACGTTTTCTTTACCCAATCCACTGTTGTCCATCTAAGGGTTGCTCCCCTCAAAATGAATATGCATTATACACTACCCGGCTTATTGGATTCGCTGATGTGCCGCATGTTCCTTTGCTCTGATTCATGTACCCTTCTCCAGCCCTACTTCTCAACACCGCACAAATGATTTGGTTCACAGGTCTCCCCAGTGATTATAAAATCCCCTACCGGAAGATCAACTTTCCAGTCCTGGTGGACTTAGACCATGAATGTACTAGACTCTCAGTTCAGATCCTCTGAGGAGATACAAAGACAGAATAAGATGTGCAAGAGATTGGTGAAAACAGCTGTCAAGGATAAAGAAGATGGGAAGAGCAGGAGGCAGAAAGAGCCTACACTTGTGAAAGGAGAGAAAGAAGGAAGCATTGGGTAGGAAGAGTCTCAGATGACAGAGCAGCTCTGAGAAAGTCTCTGTAAGGCCAGTAGGGAACCACAGGCAAACACTGCCTATTAGAATGGTCCTCTGTGGGCAGAAATGGTGCAGCATTAGCACGTCAGGCATGTTCAGGGGTTGGGTAGAAGCAGCTAGGGGAAACATGAATACTGAGCCAGACAGAAAGGTGTGGCAGCTGGGGGTTATCAGCCAACCGCACTTCTTCCAGCAGGTTCTCTTGAAGAACAAGCTAAGCAGTGCACCTCTGTGCAGACCCCGTATGGCTGCTGTGACTTATGGGTGTTGGCCCCCAGGGGTTTTGTTGACACAGTGACCTTTCAAACAACCAGAAGACAACTGTAGGTCTAGCAAGAGCCCTAGGTGTCCTGGGGGTACTGAACTGAACTAT